AGAAAGAACTAATAAAAGTGTCCTAAATATGTTAACGGCATTTGTTTCTGAAAATGGTGATGATTGGGACAAGTATGTACAGTAAAGACTGTCTTAGCGACCCCCTGTATATAGCGACGTTCTGTCTTTAGTGACCATAGTTAGGTGCGCCGAACAGTATTAACTATATAAATGGTCTGTATGTAGCGACTCCCTGTCTAGTACGTACAACGACCATGATTTAGTCACCCGTTACGGTATTTGAGCCGTGAACAGCGACTTTTGCAAGGGAGAGCAAGACTTGAACTAGGTGACGACTTTGGCGAAGAAGTCGCCTTCGGATCAGCGATTTGCTTCAAAGAGATTTTGAAGTCGCCCGATTTTTTACAATTTTCCGTTATACTTATTTACGCCGCTAGTTTGTTTACCTCTCAATTACAACCAATTACCGTTAATTTCGCTAATTAAGAACGCGTGTCAACATCAATAAAGTTCAATACACGCCGCAAGGCAAGAGTTCACTATATTTATCTTTCTCATTACGTATGATTGACGAATCAGAACGCGCGTTGTATCTACGGCAGTTTGCATTGACCAATCGGCGACACGCTCATACACAATGACTGTTTGTTGACAATTACACAAAAATGGCGACAGATCTATTTAATCAATTTTCGCCGAAAAAATGATTAAAGACACCTGCATATACATAATTGCTGCGGTGTTTTGGCGAGTAAAGATAAACAATGCCAAACGTCTTAAAGGTGTGGTTATGTTTGAAACCTCGATTGTTAATTTTTTCGGAGTACTTATCTGTAGAAATTATGTGGAGATTTGTATCTAATGTTTTTTAATTCATTGAACTCCGTAAAGTAAACATTTTTGCAATCAGATTTATCAATATAAATTACATTTTAAATACTAATGTTATGGTGTAGTTTATAATCTTAACCAATTATACATGCAATTTTGATACTCTCTTGTTTTTTATAAATGATATTTGATATCTTTAATATCAATAAAAATATAATTAAACCCTTAGTATGGTACTATCCTGCTGTTCAACAAAATATTTGTATGATATGTTCATATATCCGAATTATGTAGAGACTGTCCACAGTGACTCCCTGTCTATAATGACCTTTTTTCTTTTCTCCCATCGAAGGTCACTGTAAACAGTCTTTACTGTACCTTTCTGCATGATGGCACATCACACTGCTGTACAGCAATCTACTGGTGTCACACCATTCTCTATGATGTTTGGAACTCAGATGAGGTTGCCAATTGACCTATTGATAGGAGCTCCTCTTGTAGACAATCCTGAAAAAGAAAACAGGTATGCCAGTGATTATGTAAGAAAATTAGAGGAAAAACTTTATCAAATTCATTCTTTGCTAGAAAGAAATTAAAAATTTCAAATGATGCTATGAAAAGAAATTATGATTTAAATGCTAATCAGACTTCTTATGTAGTAGGTGATTCTGTTTGGTATTATAACCCACAGAGAAAAGTTGGTAGAAGTGGAAAATTAACAAGACCGTGGAAAGGTCCATATAAAATAATTGAAAAAAGTTAGCAACATTTTATATCGAATAAAGGGTAGTCAGAGAGAACGACCTAGAGTTGTTCATCATGATAAGCTAAAAGCATACATTAATTAAATAAATAGGTGTAAAAAGCACACCCTATAATTCACAACAGTATAGACTGTTTGTTATTGCATTAGTTTTATTGTTACTGTTCTGTTGTTGTTGTTGCTAATTTTTTACTACATTGTAAATAAATATATCATATTAAGTTGATAATGTCTTGTTTAAAATGAAAAGATAATTTTATATGATTCTTTACCAATGGATTATTATAAATGAAAAGATTATATAATGATGTTATTATATACATGACATGGTAAATAATACTTGATAAGAAATTACTTTCATAACTTGTTGAAAAGTAATTATTGTACATTCACGAAATGTATTAACGGATAAATATAAATTCACGAAATGTATTAATGGATAAATATAAAGATAATGAAGTTTATACTTAGGAAACTTATTTTGTCTATCTTCAGAAACCCTTTGAATGTAAGATTTGTGGAGATATCTCCTTTACAACCCGAAGCAGATGTTACAGTCATATTCTTGAACAGCACTCTGGTGTGACATGGAAGTGTCGATTCTGTTGCAAGGTCTATCATAGAAACACACACCACAAGCAAATACCTGTCACGACAAAAAGGAAAATTATATTAGGTTTGTCCAGGCTACAGGTGAAAGAGGGAAAGAAGCTGATGACATAATGGAAAGATTTAAACTAACAATTCCTGATTTGATAATAGACAAAAGGCAAGGGTATAATATGATAAGGAAACAGACAAGACCAGTATTATTCGAAAGAAAGAGGGGAAGGCCGCAAAGCAGAGAAAACAGATGTACGAAAAAGAGAAGGGAAAGTTCTAGCTCCAGTAGCTCTGAATCATCAGACACATCCAGATCAAGTAGTACAAGCTCAAGAGAAGATGAAACGGTAACTGCTGTTAGGGATCTACTTGATCTGGAGGATGACTTTCAAATTGTGGAACCATGTTATGAAGAGAAATTAAGAAAAGAAAGTGAAGAAAGACTAAGAATTGAAAATGAAAGAAAAGAGAAACAGGAAAAATTTAGAAAAGAGAAAGAAAGGAGAGAGATAGCAGAGGTAAAGGAGAGACAAGAAAGAGAGGAGAGGCTCAGAATTGAAAGGGAAATAAAAGAAGATGAAGCAAGGAAAGAGGCAGAGGAGAAAAAGAGGAAAGAGGAAGAACTTAGACTTGAGACGGAAAGAAAAGAGAAAGAAGTGAAGGAAGCAGAGGAAAAGCAAAGGCAAGAAAGAGAGGAGAGACAGAGAGTAGAAAAGGAAAGGAAAGAGAATGAAGCAAGGAAAGAAGCAGAGGAGAAAAAGAGAAAAGAGGAGGAACTTAAACTTGAGAAAGAAAGAAAAGAGAAAGAAACAAAAGAAGCAGAGGAGAAAAAGAGAAAAGAGGAGGAAATTAGACTTGAGAAAGAAAGAAAGAGAAAGAAACAAAAGAAGCAGAGGAGAAAAAGAGAAAAGAGGGGGAACTTAGACTTGAGAAAGAAAGAAAAGAGATAGAAACAAAAGAAGCAGAGGAGAAAAAGAGAAAAGAGAAGGAAGTTAGACTTGAGAAAGAAAGAAAAGAGAAAGAAACAAAAGAAGCAGAGGAGAAAAAGAGAAAAGAGAAGGAAGTTAGACTTGAGAAAGAAAAGAGAAACATGGAAGCAGAGAAAGAAAAGGAAGAAAAGGGAAGGGTAGAAGAAAAGAGACTACACACAAAGGACAAGGAGGAAAGACATAGTAAGAAAACAGAAGAAAAACAAAAGATCGAAATAGTTACACTGAATGTAGGAGGACGAAAATTTTCAACTTTAAATACCACCGTGAAAGGCATAATGGACAAAGTAGTGATAAATAAAGATGAATTGTTCATTGACAGGGACAGTGAACTATTCCCATATGTATTAAATCATTTAAGATACCGTCAACAAGGAGTAATGAACCTGTCAAGGGATCTTTTACCATCAGACAGAGGAAGTTTGGCTGCATTACAACTCGAGGCGAAATATTTCAACCTCCCAAAGCTGGAAAAACAGTGCAGTGACAAAAGGATAAGTTTAAAAGAAAATGTGTAAACAAGAAAAAATAAAGTGTTATAATGTCAAATATAGACAGGATGATAAAAGGAATATTTAGAAAATAATTATTCAAAGATAAAAGGAATTTTTAGATAAAAGAAATACATATGACAAAAGGAATTTACCGATAAACTAAGTATCAGTCTGATGAACAAACTAAAGGAACAGTATTACAGATATCTTCAGTGGAGTTTAAAAGATTAATTGAACTTTATACAAATAAAATTCACATTTAATGTTTCAAACTAATTTTAGTGTAAAGTACACATTTTGCCATAAATTTTATTAAGCAACTTTAACCAATTTCATGACAATTAATTATCTTAACTTTATTTGTGAGACAAACTCATACTTACGTAATATACATATTTTGTGATCATTCTACAGGATTTTGTGCCATGCACAGTTCAGTGTGTCTGAAATACTTTAAAAAAAAAAAAAAAAATACAATGAACATTAAAATTTTGTGTAAAATAATTTGACGCAATAGAATACATCTATGTTAAATATACATGTATACATTTAGTGTTATTAATATAACATTTGACATTATACTTTGAAATGCAATGTTACTAAATATTAAAATTTGTGAACACTTAGTGCAAGATAAGTGACATAATTGCTTACTTTAACAGATGAGACTTACAAATTTCTTATATTAAGAATATGTAAAGACATTTTAATTATTATCTTTGTGGAATATACATGTACTATTATGAGTCAATGTTATAAGGTTTTAGACATGTTAAATTATTATTGTTTATTGTTTTCATATGTTATGGAAGTCAATTCGCATGTTAAGTAAAAGTGATATTTTTGAATCATTGACACAAAACAATTATCTAAAGGCTGTATACTTACATATTTATAGACATCTGCACTGGTTCTACAGTCATAATTGCTTTCGTACTTGTAACCTAAAAGAGACTTCCTATTGTTAATAGTAAATAAATTGTTATTTTGAATAGTTAAATTGTTATAAAAAGTTTATTTCTACAAGTGAACAACATAACTCTTAATTAATTGGTGTTGTTAATTATTTACATGTATTTCAGTAACCAATTAAGCATAATGATAATAAGTATTCAATGTTTGTACCTTTAAATAACTTAAAAAATATGTAAAAATTAACTTACCACACTTCTTAATCGGGGACCGATTCCTGAGAGGTGGGGGTAATGTGATGCTCAGGCTATTTTATCAATGTTCTTTAATATTTATTCATTTTCCGACTTCGAGTACGAATATTTCTGAGTACGAACCATCGCATTGTTTTGATGATTACTTTCTATGTAACTGCTTTTATCTCTCACATTATTATGATTTTCAGATGCCATTTGTATATATAAATGTTTATTATCTATTCTTAAATGCTGACATACGTTTATTTTCATGTAATCTTGCTTAATATTTTGTCACATTTCTGAATTTGCCACTGGTCGGCCATTTTGAATATTAATGTGATGACGTCACAGGGTACTATAAATACTGCGCGTTAGCATATCGTTGTCATCTCGTATCAGGTCGTCTGGTAGAAAAGTACTCTATTGAGTAGATAATTGTTAGACGAATAAATAACCGAAAATGGATCGGATACAGGTGAAATTCACTTGTTGTTATTGTTAAACAGTTATAATTACTTTGCCAGTGTAAAGAGAACGGTTGATCCAGAAATGGTTCATACCAAATCTGGTATAATACCCAATCCGGTATAGTACCCAATCTGGTAACTACCAGATCTGGTATCTCATTATATTGTACCAAAACCTGGTACTTGTTTACTGAAATCTGGTCATCTATAGGAATAATAATAAGAGACTTTAGGCATTCATGACTATGTATATTTAAATAAAATTGATCTAATATAACATTTTAATTAAAAGAGTTTTTAAGTTACAAAATGTCTTCTGTGTTCATTTATAATTTGGTACTTGGGCCGTGTAAAACGAACCCTGAGTTAATGTGAGGCTGCAGACTGCCCTGGAAACACTAAGCAGGGGTCTGGGCACCACAATATTACAGCATTGCTTTACTATGTGAACTAGAACTGTTATGACTGAATGACAATAAGCCGGTAATGTCGCCGTATAAAAAAGACATCTCATTGTACATCCCATCAAAAACATGAAAATATTAGGGTGCATGCTTTCCATGCAACCTAGATATTTTGTAACGGATTAGTCAACAAAGATTCATGCCAGGGGACTATCTTAAAACATTGCTGAATCTCAATTTTCAAAACTTGTAAAGAAATCTGTTTTATATTTGTGAATATATAAAAATTAACTTATGGTGCTTAGCAAAAGTGGAGTAGTTTATGTATACATCATTATTGCATAAAAATTCAAATACCTTTTGGGCAGTTATTGCTTACATGACTGTTTAAATAACATCTGTAATAGAAGTTGTAAAAGAAAAAAAAATACTTTTCTTACAAGTTACTAACTTTAATATATAATTCACGATAAAGGGGTGTCTTTAGAAGACAAAATGACAAAAAGTACTAAAAGTCACTAAAAGTCGGAAAAACTAACAGTTCAATAAATTGGAAAAATATAACAGTTCAATAAATGAAATGTTAAACAAAATGCTATTAAGGAAAGGTAGTATATATTTATCTATAAATAGCGTTTATAAAAGTTAGTACAAGAAAATAGTATGTTTGTATTTTTATTGTGCCGCTGAGCTTTCACAAATTTATATAAATCGACTTAGTTTTTTGCTACTTTTACAAGGCATGCTTGACATTTCTTTGTATAAATTTTTTCTCATTGTTTCAAAAAGTAACCTTTTTACTAAAATTGTCATAACTGACAAAGTTTATTTAAAAATAATAGTTTACAATCTAATTCTCTGCCATTCATAATATTCTAAATACTTACAACGTCCATACTTTCCCTAATGCATTACAATCTACATTTTTCTTTCTTACCTATCATTTCGTTCAATAACACAAAGATCTTTGCGTGATCAACAAATACAGATGCTGATCTAAATCCTATATCAGAAAGTAGAATTAATGAAATGCCTGTCAGTAAAGATTGTTTTATTAGGTTTGGAAATTGAATCATCGTCTATGAGAATGTAAACAAATTCTAAACACGATAGATGAGTTTTATCAACATGAATTTGACAACATACCGGTATATCTTATGTTGGTAATTCAAACTGTCTCCATGATGATTTATTTCGATTTTTAAACCAAATGCAATGTAACAACAGTCAATGTTGTGGTCCAATGCTTTAAACTGCTTCAAAAGAACTGACCACGCCAGTTGTCCAGAGACATAAGATTATCTTTAATACTTGGGCACCGCTCGTTTAACCTTTGCTCACCCTTTTTTATATAATTATATCAGTTTTAGTTAATCATATTTCTAATATAGGAATGCTTAAAACATGCGATTTAAAAGCTTAAGATTAGACACTTAAGATTATTGTGAGTGTGTGTACAATATTGGAGCAATAATCAACAGGAAAAATCTGTATAACTATATTATAACAAAACACATATTTGAATACAATTTGAATATCAATTATTGGTAACGTATTAGGAAACTAACTTGAATTTGTGATGAAAAATAATGTGGAAAAATTTATTCTAAAAACTTAGGAACAAGATAATGGAAAAAATGAATAATCGCATACATGTTTGTTATAATGATAGCGACGAATAATGTAAACCCAAGTTACTCATCATTGAAATAGTTCTAAATTGAATGTTTAAATGTTCTTTCATGGTCGATGAGTTATGTGATATTTCATAAACACGTTGCAAACATCACATATGCAATATTGTAAATGTATGTTTAACATGCCTTTCCAAAAATACAAAAGAAATTATTTAAATAATCGTACCACTGGGCCGAAATTTCGTAGACTGGAATAGGTTAAACTACAAGTTTGACCCATGCCTTTATCATAGAGTTATATCTTCTGTCGTTCAATAATTTGAAAGTCTTACTAGTATGAATATAAAATAATCTTCTATTTTATACGCGAAATGCATCAGACTCAAGTCCTTGACAAGTAGAGACAAAATGCCTGAAGTTATTTTAGGAAAGCAAGCATCATATTGAAAAACGAACGTCTATTTATTATCTTGTGATAACATAGTTTGTGACGAACAGTGTATTAAATCGTTGGCTACAAGCTATGTCGTAATAGAAAAACCCATTTGTCAACGATGATTTTGATTAACTATTTTATCAGAATTCTTTTTTTTTCATTCTGTTTTGAAACTTGTCTCTATTTCTTCCTCTTTCGGTTTTGATATCCGCTTAGCAATTAAGAACACTTTCTTAAGAAAACCATGTTTTGTTTGAAATATGTAAGAAAATAAAATGTGACTTTTGATATGCAACAACTACCCATTTGAGTTATATATGTTAAGAACGAGTAACATTGTAAGTAATTTGTATAGAATCATTTGAAAAATCAGCGATATTACATTTTTGCACGTAACGCACCCAAAAACACTGGACTAATTCTAGCTGGTTTAAGTTCAGATCCTTATCTCAAAGGTTCCAAATTTGTCTTAAATACTTTAGAGAAAGCTAGTTGAGTTGATAACATTGATTAGTGAGTATTCACACGAGAAGTTAGGCCTCTGGGATTTCAAAACGGCAAACGGGATCATTGATAACAGCACTTTTAAGTGTTGAAATTTGAGTACCGCTTAAGTCGGTGCAAGTTGATGTAAAGGCTGTTGCACGTTGCATGTTATGTCGGTGCCTTGATGTATCAACTTCTTACACTTTTTCTAGCATAACTTAAGATATTGGTTCTGTCTGCGCTTCATATTGTATACAGTTGGTACCGCACTGGACAGACAGTTATATAGATGTGAAAAGGGACATTTACATAGATTTATTTCAGTGTCATGCAATAACTTGGTAAAACATGTTTCATACGTATGTAGACAATGAAGCAGTATAGAAATCACATTAATTTCATAATTCTAAAGATAACACAGTAACAGCATACTTTATACGTATATTTTATTGGTGAAAAATCATCTATTTAATTTAAAATAGGATTACTCTTAAGTTATATTTCATTGGTCTTATATCATCTATTCAAAATGTAAAAATATTAAAAAGCACAGATAAACATCATTTTAAGTCCTAACTTAAACAGTTATTCCAGTATTTTGAACGGAACAATTAAAGTTTATTGTATTAAGAATACATTATTATTGCAAATTACATAAGTAGAAAGAGTGGTAATTACAATTCAGCATCACGGAAATACATTTCTCACACCTAACTAAACAGGAAAGCCGTCTGTTCTACAGTTTTTACACTAATGACGACACATTACAAAGATAATTCTCATGCACACTGATCTATCCAAGAAAATAACGGCAAGAATGAATAAAGGCTATTTGTTTTTGTGAACGATCAAACAATTTAATTCTTCATGTGAGCTTTAAAAAAACAGTACCATCACCAGTGGCATAGCCCCGAGTCAGAAAACAGTTTTTGAAACTCACGAAATTAACAAAAAGATCTAATAAAAAACACATTTTCATTAATCTAAGCAGATTACACAGTCAAAATAGTTTACAACAACATCTTATACATAATTTGTCTGATACAAGCTAATGTAAACTAAACTATAAATGAAATATATTTGCCGTTGCGTTTCATTGCATCAAAGTATAATCAATGAGGACAATCCGAACAAGTTAAAATCTTATTTTCTTTCGTTCATTACACTGATAATTACTAGTATATCTTTTCGTCCGAGGATTATCTTTATTACAAAGAAAGTAATTCTTTTTTCTTTCTTACCAATTTTTGCATTTAATACACAAAAATGATTGCGTGATCAACAGAATAAAGTTGTCAATCGTAATCCTATATCAGAAGTAGAATTAATGAAATGCCTGTCAGTGAAGATTGTTTTATTAGGTTTGGAAATTTAATCATCGTCTATGAGAATATAAACAAATTCTAAACAAGATAGATGAAAAGTTTTTATCAACGTCAATCAGACGTCATAAATACTTTATCTTATTAAAGCCACTCTACCACATAAAACGGGTCTGAAAAACATCAACATATTTGTTTACAGTTATCAAATATGCATAGAGGTAAAATTTGCAGATCCCATAAGATAACTATGACCTAACGGTTATTATGTTTCACTTGACACAGCTATAAACACCCGTAATATCACACCCAGTAGGATTTTGTTTCTTTGTTTGAGTTTTAAGTCACACCGACACAGTATAGGTCATTTGGCGACGTTCCAGCTTTACTGGCGGTGGAAGACCTCAGGTACCTTTCCGTGCATTATTTCAGGCACGAACGGGCACCTGAGTAGAACCACCGACGTTCCATAAGCTAGCTGGATAGCTTCCTCACATTAAAGAATCCAAAGTCCCTGTCAGGATTCGAACCCACAGCGGTGAGGGGCAAGTGGTTTGCACACCCAGTAGGACAGCTTTATGCAGGTAGTACTTTACCAAGATATGTCATTCTGCTGTGCCTCTTTTGATACACATAATTCTTTATGATATATTTGTTTATCTATCTATTGCAGGAT